CTTTTGTATCGAGCACTATTTTAAAAAAATAATAACTAAAATACTAAGGAACTTTGGGTTATTTACCTAACCAGGTGATTGAAAAGTAACTTCCCATTTTAAAATTCTTATAAATTATTTAACTATAATTTTACAAAAAATGCATATGAAAGGAAAAGGTCTGGCAAGAGATTTTATTTAAGATATGGGCGCGAAATTTCGCTATAAGCTTCACGAGACGCCCAGGAATCGAATCAACTGATTTCACCAGAAACTCTTGTGGAATGGAAGACATAACTTCTTGTATTCGGCCTTGAAGTCCTTCAAAGTCTTGGTTTGGTATAGTATTCTTGCTCTTTTTAACCAACCCCCCAAAAAAAAAAGTCACAGGTTTCCTAATTTTTCGCTTGAGGATGAAACAGGGGCTTTTTACTTTAATTCAATTTAATTATTATATTGATGGTTTCGGCACTCATTTTTTGAAACATGAGAACACTTATGTAGCAGAAGGAATCATATTTTTAAAAAAATAATTATAAAGCTCTACTTCTGTATAAAAGTAGTTTTTAAAAATAATAAAAAGAAAATACTAAAGAACCCTGGATTATTTACCTAACGTGTTCTTTCCTATTTTTCACATACCTGCACTTTTACGCACAATTATATATATATATATATATATATATATATATATATATATATAAATATGTATGCCACATATGATAGGTGCATTTAACCAATGCGTCTAATCAGTTACCTAACTGTCCCACTGAGTAGTGGAATTTTGCAGTCTTCAATAAAAATCTCCCCATTCTTAGAAAAAAAATATTGTGTTTATTATCTACTAAAGTTTACTTACAAAGCATCACTTTTTTTGCCGTCTCTTGCAGCGTGGATTGTCCTTGAAGTTGAATTCACCTTTCTTGTTCTTCATAAAGGTTACCCCTAGATACGTACTGCTTCCAACAGGAGGATCGCCATAAATGGAATTACATACCTTCTACCGTGTATGATGTCCGCTATCATTTTTGTCCAGAACGCAAGATAAATGAATGTTGAACAAAGAATAAGTGTTTTTAAATGCGTACCCAGTTTTCAAATATGAAAGCGCTATGAAACTGTATTCACGCCAACTATATGAACTCATTACACATTCGTTTTTTTATACAGAAATATTTAACATTAGAAATATATAACATTAAAAACTACATCAGCTGTCAATGACCACGAATAAAAATCCTAGGGTTTAATGCCAAAGCAAGTTTTTTGAAAAGAGATAATTTCGTCGCTCTCAAACTTTTTTAATTTGTTGATATACAGTCAACAAATTCAGGCATGAAACTGACAGTCACCTTGCAGTCTTGGTTATAATTAGTTCTGTTTATTAGGGTTCAGTAAAATACGTCTCACATAATGATAAGACATTGCTTGGCAATGGTGTCTTCATCTAGCTGATGTCTTACTATTATTAACATTGTTTAATTATTTTGCCACGCCCTGTATTTATAAAATATCGATTTCCTTCGGACATTCTCCCGCCTCCTCCAGATATATAAATTTTAAACACACATACATACAAAATATATATATATATATATATATATATTTATAAAACTCAAAACAGTAGCTCAGGTTGTGACACAAGTTCAGTTTAAATGGAGTTTTGCTTATAAAAATCATTAGGAACAAACATTGGTTTGTGCAACCGTCGGTTACTCTGGCCTCGATCAGACCCATCCCTCTCTCTGCTGCAATAAAGGGTGTGGCTTAGGGCAGCTGTAAATTAAAAGGTTGGACACCTCTAGTGTAATTTTTTTCAGTTTAAAATCCGTCCTGTGTGCATCCTGTCCAAAGACAGAGACGCAACTGAGGGATGATAAATAAACGGGTTACCAAATTTCTTTATTACTCCAAATGTTACTTTTTATGAATATATATATTTAGTAGACTCTCAGTATTTTTAAAACTGTTTATTTCGTCTACCGGCTTGGCACTAGGAGAAAATTTAATAAAAGAAAATGAAATGTGTCCTAAGTTTTCTCAGGTGAACATTGTTTAACTATATATATATATATATATAAGCTTCTGGAAACATTCATGCAGGCATCTATTTGTAATTTTGATTTACTACCTATACTTTTTTTAATATATAAGTCCGACAATGATTTTAATATATTTTCTGTTTGTACGTTATTTTTATAGATACAAATATTTAAAAATATATTTTTTTATAAATAAAAAAAAATTAAAATTTACCGGCCTGAATGTCCGAAAATTTTATGAAAATATTGTCCTCCGACAAAAATCGAACCTGTATCCTACACGGAACCCTCATTTGGATTTTATTAAAGAAAATGGGAAGCTTGTCAAATTACATGCTTTTAAGAAACAAATTTCTCATAATTTTTCTTGTCTTTATTCATATCTTTTTTTTTTATGTAGCCTATTTTAAGTTAAACAAATGACAAAATATATCATGAAACAGCCTAAGTCCAACAATTATTTTAATATATTTTCTGTTTATATGTTATTTTTATAGATACAAAAAGTAAACGCTTTGTTTAAACAGTATTAATTGTATTTATCAGCCTTTTAATCATCACACCTTTTATGTGCCGTGTACTTTCATGATTATAAATTTTGTCATTTCTTCCAAACTGTTCAATTTATTAAAGTTCATCAACTATGTTACGCACTGCTTTCCTGTCTCTCTTGCTGTCCTGTGAGTATCAAATTTTCCTAGCCTTCCTTCCTCATTACATTCACCAGAAACCTCAACTACCTCTTCCTCTAGGTTAAGTATAAGTTTCCTTTTTGTTGCCATTTTCTCCAAAACCTTGTTGCTCATAGGTTCAATCCATTGTCGTATCAGCATCTTTTCATTGCTTCAAACTAGTTTGCCAACTAATACTGGTAAAGGATTATTTTTTTAAAATGAATTAAAAAAAAAAAAAAAAAAAAAAAAAAAAAAAAAGAAAGTTTTTTAAATTACAAATCAACAAAACAAGTTCCATTAATGTTTTTATTTTCTATATTTAGATTTTTTTTTAGAAAAGAGAAAGAAAGAAAGAAAAACAAAAAAAACAAACCCAAAACTGTACAAACAAGTTTTTTTCAAATATTTTAGGCAATGTGGATAGATATACATCTACATATACACACTGTTGGATTTTTTTTTTTAATTTTAAGTGACAGCTCTTTTATTTAAAAAAAAAAGAAAAAAAAAAAAAAAAGAAAAGGAAAAAAAAAAAGCGTTCCCCAGAATTATACATTTCCTGTTCAACAATCATTTGGCTGTCATATGATGATGATGGTGGTGATGGTGATGATGAGAGAATAGATTCAGTCTGCAATTTCTCAGCGCATAGGTAGGGGGAAGGGTGAGGGAGTTAAATATCGAATTATACAGCATACTTTGCATAGGATAGATTTTACAAGAATATTTTGAAAGGCTTTGAAAGCAGCTGATTATGACCTAAGTGAGGTCAAGAAGTTTGTAAATCCCCACCCCCCAATGGTTTGAACCAAATTATACTAATAAGCATGAAAACATGATTATTTTGAAACCACTTATTTTTCTTTAAAATAGCATTGATAACTTTATTTCCCTTTAGTCGTTTATGGGGGGGGGGAGGGAGAGAGAGAGAGAGAAAAAAAAAAACTTGAAAAAAGAAAAACTGGCCCTTAGGTGACTTTTTTAAGTGTAGTTCAGTAAAAGGCTGAAATTATAGGACATAGAGTGAGGATTGAACTCATTACTCAATCGTAATTGATCAAGCAAGAAATGCTTGCTAATCATTACACCATATCAAAGTGTCCAATGGTTTTCTCAGTGTAGCACAAAGAAACCAGCCTTAGAAGAATTAGCTAAAAGTTGAATGATGGGACAAGAGAATACACTGCATTATAAATGGTGGACAGTTTATCATTAGATGGCCGACATATTTTAATCTAAAATTTCGGTACAGTTGGCACTGAAATAAGAATTTGCTTTTTATCATTTTATTCTCATATTACTATAGATTAAGCATTATCAACCTTGAATTTAAATTTTTTATTATTATTAAAGTTTATAAAACTTAATAAGGGGGGGGGTCACTTTGTTATATAATAATTCATATACACTGCCCCACTTTCCCCAACAAAATCAAAAATTGCACACACACCATGATTTATAAATTAAAAAATTTTTTTTTTGTTTTAGTAATATATGGAAGAAGAGAGAGAGGAGAATGAGGAAGAAGAAAGAGAAACTAAACTTTCCCTTTTAGATTTAATAAAAATAATTTGGAGGCGACATTTGTAGTCTAGAGTAATCTATAACAAGGGTTGGGGAGAAAAAAAAAAAAAAGTCTCTTTTTGGTTGCAGTGCCCACTGTACAAGTCCACCTAAAACTAAGATTTCATAGTTTTCAAGGCCAACCTGAACTGAAATGAATGCAAAATGTTTATTTTTATTAATGTTGCATTTTATCACCATTAAAAGTGGGAACTTCATTTGGTCAGCTTTTTTCCTTCATAACATTTGGCAACAGAGAAATTAACAATCAGGATTTTATGAAAACATTCTATACCCCTTATATATATATATATATATATATATATATATATATATATATATATAACTGGATTAATTTCTAAATCAGACATTTCTTATTTATAGAATTTTTTTTTTTGGTGAGTTAAATGTCTTTTATATCAAAATTCCCATATATATTTTTTTTCCAACAGTGAAATTAATATCTAGATGCATGAAAAGTCTGATTAAAGAAAATGTCCCTCTTGGTAGGGATTGAACTTACATTTCCTTTTTACCTTAAGGAAAGTAACTTATAATCAAACAGTTTTACTGTTTCATCCACAGAGGCACATACAACAAAGTAAGGCTCAATTGAAAATGTTTTGAAGTCTTGATCTGTTTGTTTTGACTATGAAAATATATCTCTGCCATCTTATTTCAATTCCTACTTACAAGTATTTTTTTTTTTTAATAAGAATTTCCATGCCAGCAAATATCAATTTCACTGTGGGGAAGAGAGAGAGAGAGAGAGAGAGAGAGAAGTTAAAGAAAAAAAGAAGCCTACTTAAATATATGTCCATTAAAAAAAAAAAAGTTTCTAGTTATATACGTCAGTCATCAGCATAAAAATTGTAACTATTAAACAAAATTTGAAACCTAAAGTTGCTATTTTTTGTGCTTATTAAAATGAAGCTGGGAAAGGCATGAAACAATCCCCTGAATTCTAGTTTCTCACTGCCATGCCGTAAGGGTTCGCACTAAGATTTTGTAAATATAGGAACATGGAGCTAATGAAAGTAACTTATTGACAGTGGTGCTAGCCTAAGACAAGTTCAAGAAACCAATTACAACTAAAGCAAAAGTGAAGATCTAATAATGTCAGCAATTTGGCTAAGAATTTGGCTTGTAGGTATTGGTAATGTTTTGAAGAGTTTTACTGGGCGTGGTGAATGTAAAGGAAGAAGAAATTTATAATTTGGCACAAATTTTTCTATTAGTGAACAAAATCAAGATAAATCCATTTTCTTTGTTTTAAAAGACAAAGAAGCCCCTAGTCTTTTGAACAGGAAGAGAGGTTTATTGCAGATAAATTTCAAAACTGACATAAAATATAAGGAAATCCCCAATTTTAATTGGAATCCCTAATTTATAGTTTTTTTATTACAGTTATTATTTATTAGTAAATGACAAGCAACTTTTGACCTTGAAAAATTCATTTTTATTTTAGATGGATTACATTTATTCAAATCTTAATATATAATACAATGATTCAACAATTTACATTTTTTTTTCCTCTTAAATAGCGATGATGGATGATGTTTTCCTGCCACAATATTTGCAATGGCAGGTTCAATATTTGACTCGTTAATTATTGAGAAATATTCAACACTTGATTTAGCAATCTGTTGCGGAGCTTCAGCCACAGTATGTGCCATAAATAACAGATTCTTTTCAGAGTGTTGCCAGGTTTGGTTGTTTTTGTATTCTCTTGTTTATTTTGAATTTTCAGCTGAAAATCACGACCATTAGCTGACAAGAGCTACAGGGGCTTTCAGAGACCCCAGGGTGTTTTCTTTTTTTTAAAAAAGAAAAAAAAAAAGAAAAAAACAAAAAAAACAACTGTTCTATATAATGAATGTTTCTGGCAAAATTTGGTAGGAGAGGGGGAAGGTTATGGTTTTCATTTTTTTAACAGCAAAGAATAATTACTTCCTGTTTTTACAAAAGAACATTTGTAGAAAGTAAATTCATCATACTAATTCATTTTCTGATGGAGTAATGGTCAACAAACCACTTTCAGGCAAGTGTTACTGTTCAGCAAGTTTATCTATGCTGTCCCCGCCCCGTTTTGCATATAATTGATAAGGGATATCACCAATTTAATATCGATAACATGGAAAGATGTGGATTTCATATAAAGTACAATTTATAGCTGCAAATAGAGTATTTCATATGAAATTGCATATTTGTAAATTTAGAAGAATGAATTCTCTTACAAATTAAATACATTAAAAGCAGACAGACTGACACCCTTATTTGCTATGAGGAAAGAAAAAAAAAAAAAAACTCTTTCCAATAACAGACCGATATAATTTGAATAAACTGTTATCAAGATACAAGTGATGTTCAAATGCACTGACAATAGCCTATGAGGTGAGAACCAAACCTTTACAGCCAATACATTAAAATACAGGAAGAAAATAAAGTATGTTAAATTCATTTGCTTTTGGATTCTTAAAAAAAAAAAAAAAAAAAAAAAAAAAAAAAAAAAAAAAAATAAAAAAAAAAAAAAATAAAAAAATACGGCTGTTGTGACACAATAAAAAGATATTAGTGCAAGTTTCAGAATTTCTGGGATGAGTTATGATTTACATTTGGACTATTGTCCCCATCTTTGTTGTTATCACAATGTTTTGGTCATTGCAGTTTACCATCATAGATTAAATAAAGGGTTCAATTCAGAATTCCCTGTAGGTTACCCAGATCAATATACAGCTCATGAAGGCCAGAGGGCACAATGTTGTTGTCATAACTTTTGGGCCAAATAAGAGAACAATAGTCAGAGTGTAATGAGTCTTAAGGTTTATGTGGGTCTCACTTGGACACACAAAAACAAAGTCCTTCCCTGATTATATACATCATCAAAGCTATGTCAGAAAATAAATGAGCATATGCTGAAGATTGTAAATAAATTTTTTTTTCATACAATAACACTTCAAGACAATTATAGTTCTCCACAGCTTTTTTTTTTTTTTTAAACTACTACACCTGCCTTGAAGATAAGCTGGGTTTCTCTTTACCTGTCCTTCAGTCAAAAGAAAAAATTTATGTCTTTCCCAAAGCACTTTAGTGTAAAGTGAACACAACAGTCGTAGCTGGAATTTGAAATGCTTGCCAATTCCATATTTCAATCAAATAAGAGTTTGGTCACTTTCATATTCATTTGTGTAATATTTGTTTGAAATCAGGCAGAAAAAAAAAAAAAAAAAATTTGCTTCCTTGTATATATTATACACAGTGGAAAACATGGCAATTAAATGGTGGAGGGGGTAGGCAAAACAGAAAATGCAGACTTAGATAATTATATATCAATCTTCACCTTCAAATTAGCCTTGTACCAGACATAAAGATAGGTAAGTTTCTCTAGGTGATAGATGGTTCACAAGAAATAATGATGTGATAATAGAAAAGAAAATATTTTTTACTGGATTTAAGTGCCAGATAGCTTTGACTAGCACTGACCGTTCTCCCGACTCCATAATTCAAGGAAAAAAAAAAAAGTCATCACAATTACAATGCTAATTTAAATAATAATTCTGACACTAATCTGCATTTCCTGATGGAAGGTGAAATCTGAATGGCTTGTTTTCCTTTCAGATGTTTACTTTGTGCGTCAACTAGTGATGAGGTCTCTACAGAGCAGAGTGTAGGGGAGGGGGGCTGCTTTGTGCAAACATTTGCTGCTGCTATGAATGATTGTATTGCTGAGACTGATGTCTGCTCAGTGGAGATAAGTGAATTTATTGAAAGCCATTGGTATATTTTTAGATTTATTCTTGTGCTGCCAACACTGAAGGGGAGAAAGAAGAAGAAGAAGAAGAAAAAGAAAAAAATGTTGAAAGACTAATTGGAATGACTTTAGTAAGTGAGCAACATTCTAAAAATTTTTCTACCATTTGATTGGATTGGATTAAAATTGGTCATTCCAAGAGTTCAATCCTTCCCAACGAAAATGGATCGCAGAATATATATATATCTCAGTATTTGTAGCAAAATGAAATCTCACACACACACAAAAAAAAAAAAAAAAACTGTCAGTAAGCAATGAAGAATCATCAATGCTCCCCCCTCCCTGCAATGGCTCAGCTGTCCATTTTCATTTTAAACATTCAGGAATTATACAACAACAACAACAAATGAAATCACAGATAACTTTTGAGAGAGAGAGAGAGAGAGAGAGAGAGAGAGAGAGAGAGAGAGAGGGTGGATGATGACTGTCACAAAGTCATTTTATCTAATCAAAGGTTGTTGGCATTGCAACAAAGGCTTTCACTAACTTTTTTTTTGTTGGTGGTGGGTGATTGTTTTATTCAAAAATGCTTTTTTGCCTTTTCATACAATGAGAAGAGGCGGGTGGCGCTGTCAAAAGAAATTCTCTAATTAAAAGGGTACAATTTAATACAAATCAAGAATTTGGGGGGTGAAGGGGGACAAAATCATAAATGGTGAAAATAAAGTTAAAAATGTTTTGCTTTTTTCTGAATTTTTATCTGACTGAATGAAAAATAGAAAAATTCCAATATTAAAAACAATAAAAATTCAGTTTCAAATGTAATTCTAGCCTTCAGGCCTCATCTGAAAATTCAAAAGAAAAGCCAAATTAAGTTAAGAGATAAAGTATGAATTAGGGGGAAAAATCTGATTATCCCAGTTTTAAAAGAGTGTCTTAAACCCCTTACATAAATTTATTCATTCAGTAAAAATGAAAGTCAGAAATATATATTATATTCTTTTGGAAACAGGAAAAACTACATTTCAACAAAATTCAGCAGAAAACTCAGACTTGAGTCTGGAAGGTTTTTGAGATTTCATGGTGAAAAGAAATTCAGTCAGAAATTGGAAAGGTGTGTGTGTGTGTGTGTGTGTGTGTGTGTGTGTGTGTGTAGGGAGGGACAAGAGGAAAGAAAGAAAGAAAGAAATCAACAAAACCCAATAATCAAAAATGTTTTACAAATTAAATATTTAATTAAAAAATCCATAGTATTCATTATAAAAAACAAAAATAATCTAAAAAGTCAGACATTTGGAGAAAATCCCATTTTGTGTTGAAATCTACAAATTAGGTTCTTTTTGTTTATTACTTATTTTTTATATTTTTTTTTATTCCATCCAATTTGATATGTCCTAGTTGATGCTGCCTGTCCCCACTTCAACTCAATGGAAGGCAGTCAAACTTCTGATTAAAATATGACCTTTAATATTTGAATGAGTACAGTCTAAAAGGTGTCTTAAAAACTCTTCATTTCAATAATTTAAAGGGAGGAAAAAGAATTGAATAAATTGCATTGGAATTCATTAGCCTTAGCCAATTCTTACTGCAGGAAAAAGCGAGGAGAAGAAAATAAACCTCACATTTCAGATATGTTGAGAAAAGCTCTGGAATATTTCCAATGTAACAGAACAGGCATGATACCAAAGAAGCACTTTCAGATTACAGAAAGCACCAATAATATAGTGATTACATAACCACTTATAAATTCATTCTTAGTTGGTTTTTTTTTTGCTTTTTATCAGTGTGCTCAGGCGGAGGACTAAAGAGAAAAAAAAACACCTTTGAAAAAGAGGACTTCTGATTTACATTGCTAACTTGAATATTTGTAAAATGTAACAACCTGAGTATCATAATATATGGCAACAAAAAGTCATCAAAATTAATAAAAATTTGATTTAATTCAGATAAGACTATTCCAACTTTCCTATGTTTAAGTTTCACAACGACAGCATCACAAAATAGTAATCATTTTTATATTATTTAAATGTTTTAGTTTAACAGGAAAATAAAATTTTATGATTTTTTTTTTTATGACCTTGATAAAAATTATTCAAGGACACAATTATATTGACATTTGTACAATACATTACTCAGTAGCCAAAGACAGGGGTTGGACACAATGACAGATTCTTTTCCAATTTTCTAAATATTATTTATCCGAATGTATATATTCATGACTAAAATACTTTTAAAATGTTTTTTAAAGCAATTGCATATGGTTAATATTGAATTGTATGTATAGGAAAACCAATGCATAGAACTGTCAGTTATATTTTATTAAAAAGAGTACTTTTGTAAAGGGGAGGGGGCAACAAAACAGACATTTTATTGATGGTGGTACAGCAAAGATCACCTTATAGACCAAATACAAGGACAATAATTGGCCAAAGAATCAACTGATGACTACCCCACCCCCCTCTACCCTCAATGGACTACCTTACGGTAGACAATAGACATTGTGTCTTTTCAAAACTGTAACAGAAGCTTAAAGGGAAAGGGGAAGGAGAAAAAAAAAAAAAAAAAAAAAAAAGGCAAAACAGTTCTTGTGAATCGTCTTGAGGATTAAAATAATGAGTCATTTCTTGGGCCAATACTAAATGGATACTAATTCAAATTTAGTGGAAGATATAAAAATTAATAATGGATAGTTTTGACAGTCAAATACTAAAGAAAAAAAATTAATGACTGACAATGATTCATCTAATATAAAGATTCTATGCAGATACTTTTTTAATGTCAGATCTGATATTGAAGAAAATTATTTGTAGATAAACAAAGAAATTTTGGTGGGGAATTTAAAGAAAGGTGTATAGAAACATAAAATATGAGACAAATTAGCAGTTTGGAACTGATCATTTTGATCATATATATCTCAAGAAATAATACACACAGCATTCTACATTGCCTTTATTTTTATCTACTTTCCCCACTGTCTGGTTAAAGGATTTAAAATAAACTAATGTAAATAAAACTAATGTAAAAACATTAAAAAAGGCATTTGAAAAATATAAGACAAAAAAATAAATCTATAAGAAACATTAATAAGTCTCAGTAGACTAAAATACATCTCAGGTTAAGAAAAGTAAAAGGAAAGAGAAAGAAAAAAAAAAAAAACAGGAATTGGTTGGGAATCATAATGTCCTTCATAGATGTTCCCTTGTGCTTCTGATACTGTTGTTGTCAATGTCCATTTGGCTGATACTGGCCAAAGATTCATCTGTTGGCCCAAGAGGTTACCTCTTCCTTTTTTTTTTCAGCACCCCCTGCGTCCACTGGGTTTGTGCCGAAGAGAATAATACAAGTGCTGCACTTAGTGTGCAGATGACGGGGTTTCTGCAATATTATTAGTTTCTGTGTTATCTTCTTCACTGTCATCTTCTTCCAACTGCATTAACTGTTTTGCTATCTGTACAGCCTGGAATTCATTATAGTGTAACTTGCGCTTCTTTTCAAACACTTTTCTCTTGGCTGATGAAAAAAGAAAAAAAAAGAAAAAAAAAGAAAGAAAAGAAATGGTCATCTTAAAGCAATAAGTTGCAAAAAATTAGAAAAAAGAAAAAAAAAAAAAAAGAATCTTTATCTTTGTGCAAACAACAATGTTGTACAGAGAACTCAGGCGAGAACATGAAAGAAAGAACAAAAAAAAAAAAAAAATCATTGTTTAATCAGGAAGCAACATGGTTCAAGAGTTACAACAGTGTGTGTGTCCCAATTGTCAAGTTCATCCCATGCTAATTCTATTGTAGGTACCTTCAAACTAGTAGTAGTGTATGTGTGTGTATATATATATATATATATATATAACAATATTTTTAACAATGTTATGCAGCTCAGCCTTCTTCAGAATGTCGAACTTTATTTCACTCACTGTTCTAGTTCCATGTGCCATGCTTAATGAATGTCAGTTATCAGTTATCTCCTGTTAATTTCCCTCTTAAAGTTCTCCACTGCCTTAGCCAGGTATTGAACTCACACTCTTTGGGTCCTGTCACTGGATCTAAATAACATCTTTATCCACTGTGCCATGTGTCCTTGAGGACATCTGTGCCTGAATTTCTGGGTATTATAAACCTAATGTCTTCAGCAACCATTTTTTACCAGTGCTCATATTGTATTTTTTTTTTTGCTGTTATCGTCCATGTTTTTACCAGAGCTTATATTGCAATTTTTGTTGTTATCGCTTTTCATAAACTTAAGGAATCAGCACATATGCTAGGTCACAAAAATCTCCTGAGCCAACCAAGCATAGAAATGAATATGGGAACCAGTAATAAGGAGTGCCAGAGAAAAGCGATAATAACAACAAAAATTGCAATATGAGCTCTGGTAAAAACATTGATGATAACAGCAAAAAAATATGAGCACTGGTAAAAAATGATTGCTGAAGACATTAGGTTTATAATACCCAGAAATTCAGGCACAGATGTCCTCAAGGACACGTGGCACAGTGGATAAAGATGTTATTTAGATCCAGTGACAGGACCCAAAGAGTGTGAGTTCAATACTTGGCTAAGGCAGTGGAGAACTTTAAGAGGGAAATTAACAGAAGATAAATGACATCCATTGCATGTGGAACTAGAACAGTCTACCACAGTGAGCGAAAGTTTGACATTCCAACCACCTGAAGAAGGCTGAAACATTAATATGGCGACAAAGATGAGGACAATAGTCCGAATAATGTACATAATACCTCATCTCAGAAAAATTATCTGGATCTTAGCTAATTTTTTATTATTCATCATTTCATCCTAAGCAAGGTGATAAAGCCACTAAGACAAAGGGTTAAGGAAACCGAGCAAGCGTTACGGAGTAGTGAGGTTAATAAAACAAACACGATTTAAGCAAACAGAAAATGACTGATATTGCATTTACATTTTTTAAAATTGTAGTTGACAGGAAAGCAAGAAGCTGGAAGAGAGTTCCACAGGCGAAAAGTGGAAGAGAAGAAATTATTAGAATAAAACTGAGTTAAACTTAGAAATTTCAACAGTGAAATGAGATCTAGCTGCTAATCTAGTTTAAATTCATGATGTTGAGATACTAAAGTGGAAGGGTTGCCATAACAATTACCATGAAAATATTTACAGAAAATGAACAGGGCAGTTATGTTACGGCAGTGGGAAAGTGACAAGCTGAGATGCTAGGTTAGGACTAATAACATTGACAATTCTTTAGATTTTGTCAAGAATCTCTAGATATATAGTAGAAGCACTAGACTAGATGTAGCGGCAATATTCAATGCAGAGATGAATGGTAGACATCTAGACGTCACAACATACATACCTCGCATTTCTTCTGTCTCTTCTTCAGATTCCTCCTCTTCATCATCATCTTGACTGTCAAAGACTTTTGCAGATTTGGGATCTCTTAATCTTCAGAAGAAGAAAGTAAGAAAATTCACCATTAATTTAAAGATGTCCGAAAAGAGATGAACATAAATTTAGGAAAAATGAAAACTCCCTTTCAATGTACTCCATCTAGATTATGTATTAACTACCATATATACTATTGTAGAAACTTACTTCATGCATGGCACGAGCACTGAATTTTTTGGGTAAAAGATCTGATTTTTTTTTTACATATAGTGCGACTATTTTTCACAGTATACTCGAGTGTACAGTAAGGTTATCTATTTCAATGAAGTAGAAAATTTAATTATTGTAAATATACCATGATAATATTCCAGAAAAATCATGTCAGAAGAGTAGACAAAAAATGATGATTAAATGTTTCTGAAGATGGTTCAGAAATTGTCTAAACATTGTAGTCATCTCTCTTGAAACTTAATTTATTGCTTTTTAATCAGTTCACAAGCCATCTTTCCTAATCATTGGTAATTTTTTTCTAAGAAAAGGTAGCAGCATATGAAACAAAAAGTTTACATTTGAACCTCTGTGATTGATTAGTCCTTGTAGCCTAATCAGTGATGCAGCTGCACAGGGCAGTCATACTTAAGAAAAAGAGATTAAAGTTTGAATTGTGCCACAAGCCTGATTTCTAAACAAAAAGCAAGAGAAATTAAGATGTAAGAAACACTAGTCAAAAATAAAAATTCACAAGATTTCATCTAAGAAATTTGAACACTGATTATTTACTTGTTGATTTAGCATCAGAGATAACAGAATCACAGCCAACCTTTCAGCTAAGTCTTCAGGATTTAAGCCATCCAATTCTTCCAGGCTTTGTTTCTTTTTGAGGTGTTTTCTGTTTGGTATGTCACCATCTTCCACATCATCATCATCTTCCTGGTCTGATAATCTAGCATAGGGGGTGGGTGGTTCATCAACCTTCATGTGACCATAGTCCTTGTCAGCAGGGTGGTGTGTAGCCAAGATGTTCATTTCATCCCATTTCATTTCTTTACGCCTGAGAAAGACAAAGAAAAATAAGGCTTTAAGAATAAAAAGATTCGAGACCAATGAGTGGTAAAGAAAAGAAAAGCTATTTATAAATCTGCGCACACTTTAAGCTTACTTCAGGTTAAACTTTCTAGCCAATCATACCTCTCAGTTTTTCTTAGTAATATTTGCTCCTTTATAAGCACTCCATCTTCAATATTCAGCCTTCATCCATTGACTCAAGCTCATCAAGTAGATGAGCTTCTGTCTATTGATTCGCAGGCCTTTTAGATACTTTAGGAGTATGGTGTTCTCCACGGGTTCATAAAACTATGATTTTTATAACCAGTTTCTTAGTTGTTATTTTCCTTGGAAGTAATTTGTCACATGCTCTGATATTTGCAACCTTCATTTTGGTCATTTAAAGTTTATTTCATTCACAAAATAGTTCAGCATTAATAGCTATAGAATTAAAGATTACAGAAATCCAGTATTCTGGATTATAAGGTTATCTTTTGGTCCTTGTATCTTTGGTCAAGTTTCTGGAAAACATTCATTATTCATGCACACCTTTGAATTTTTGTGTCACCTTTTTGTTGTCTGTTACTATCCTACCTAGATGATTGGATTTCTGTAGGTATTTGATATCTCACCAGTTTGTAAGTTACACCTTAGGTCATTCTTTTTGCTGACAACCATGTTTTCTATTTTTCAATTGAAGTTTAGTTCTTTCTTCATTCAGAGATCACTTTGTTTAATTGTTCTTTCAGTTTGTCTTCTGCACAGCATATGTTGTTAATGCTAGATCCATTAAGAATAAATCCTGATAGGTCCTATAATTCTCTGAATTATTTTACTGTGCAGTTTAAATAAATCTGCAGTAAACACTCTAGTCTTTTTATTCTAGCATATTCATTGTCTAGGTCAAAGTTTTCATAACAATCCAGGAAGTTTCTACATTTACTTTATTCAATACTAGCAGTAGCGCCCGGCGTTGCCTGGGGATGTAACAGTAAGAGATAGATCAAGTATCTACCATTATAAAGACTGAAAAATAAAATTGACAAAGATTATTGTTTAAGGTGGACGGACATGCATGTCTTAATTAGTTTTTTTTTTTTTTAACGAATTGGTCAAACAAAAACATTGTTTTCAATCGTTATGAGTTTACTGATTGAATAGAATTTTATTATAAACAATTGTCTTGTAAATGGAATTTTTAAAGCATTCTGAATGTAAAAATAAAGAAAAAAGTGTGCAAGACAATAAGAAACACTACCTGCCAAAAAAGTGAAGTTTTGTTGAAATTGGTTGAAAAATGTAGGAAATCCAATCCCATATATAAACGAACACACACACACAAACAACCTGGGTTTTATAAGTATAACTCAATATGAGTTGTCCCCCTTTCATTCTTGCGATGCCTCTTAATCGTGTTTTCAAATTGATTTCTTGCAAAAACAATTGTGTTTTACCAATTTTTGGTGCTGTCAGAACCACTGCAAGGTAATTTTATGTATTCCTGTGAAGTTTTGTTGAAATCGGTTGAAAAATGTAGGAAATCTGATCCAATATATAAACGTACAGACACACACACAACCTGGGTTTTATAATAAGTATGATTTATGTGTAGTCTATGAAAAACCAGCATATCTTCATTTCATGTTCTGATGCATTGAATAAAACCACATTGTTCTTTCCTTATCTCAGATTTAATTCTACATTGAGCTTCAGTTATTAGAATCCTAATAGCTTTGTTGTGTGGTTCATCAGTTTGGTTGCTTGATGATTTCCATTTTTTTTTTTTTGCCTTTATTTGCACTAGATTTTTTTCTTCTGGTAATGCATATCTATATTGATCATCAATATTTCACTGCTGTTGCAAAAGTGTTTTCAGTAATCCTGATCTTGAAATTTTAAGTCTGTCAACACCGACGACAATCTCATCTGGTCCCGATGCTTTGTTCTTAGTCATTGCTTTTATTTCCAAATAAATGTAAGTTTCTCTTTGATACTGCCATGAAAGAAGTTTAATATATACACTATCATTTCAGCAGCTTTTTCTATCATATTGGTCCCTTTTTAGATTTTAGAGGTCCTGGCAAAGAGTATATTTTCTCTTGCCATTTTCTTGTGCATACCCAATGCATCTGTATTCAGTTTTTTTTCCTTCTTCAATCATTGCATATTAGCCAATCCTCTGTTGCTTGTCTGCATTTATTTCTACTGATTATGTTTAGCCTTATATTCTATGCCATTTCTTTGGAATATCTCTCCATTTTTCAGACTGAAAATTTCACGTATCATCCACAGGGGTTGAGTAGAGATAGAACATTAATTTGGGCCAATTGGTAAGAATTTTAGGGACTACACCAGGCTATAAAAAAAAAAAAAAAAAAAAAAAAGAGTAAAATTTATTATATTAATTCTAAAAATAGAACAAACACACAAATAAAAATGAAACTTAGGCGCTTTCCAGACTGGTAAATAAAAAAAAAAAAATAAAAAAAAATTAATGTTGAAGGACAGATATATTAATTTGGTTTTAATAAACAAAATATTTTCTTCTGTTCATTTTTGGTTAAACTTGAATGCACAAATAACATTTATGCGTTCAGTTTTCTGCTTATCAGAGCCTAAATATAAAATACAAAGGAGAATTTAAAAAATGATCAACAAACATGAAAAATTTTAAGATGTGAAGAGGCAGGTAATTCTAAATGAAAATATTTTTGATAAAATCTTGATTGGACATTTGGATATTCTTTATATATATATATATATATATATATATATATATATATATATATATATATATATATATTACACAAACACTGCATGTGAAGTTTGCTTAACCAATATAAAACAAATTCAAAATACTAGAATCCCCCCCATCTCATTCTCTGATGAAACTTTAATAAAGGAGAAACATGTTAGATTTATAAAAGTTCCTTATCCTATCATTCTGTGATAAGAAAAAAATTTTTTTTAAGAAATTTGTTACTTTTAGAATTAATATAATAAAAGTTACTTTTTTTTTTCTTTTTTTTTTTTTATAGCCTGGTGTAGTCCCTAAAAATCTTACCAATTGGCCCAAATTAATGTTCTATCTCTACTCAATTCCTGTGGATGATACGTGGAATTTATATAATACATATATCACTGCCTTTAGTAATCATGTCCACACAAACATGTATATGCACAAAAGTTGAGTATTATCTACCATGTATTCAATTGTGAAAGCAGAATAACATATATAATGTTTTTTATTACTTTAAGACTCCCTAAAAAATTAAATTACAGCATTAAATGACCCATATGGAGTTGATATGCCATTAAACAATCAAATCTTTCAGTGCAAACCAATATCAAGAATTAGAATGCAATGTGGGGTAATCATTGGCCAGTCAGTGGAAAGCTTGAGCAAATGTATGTTTACAATTATCTGACTATCAACATTTGACTGTATTTTATATTGTAGTTTTGTTGAAGTTATATTTTAGAATAGTTTGATTTCTTTAACAAATTGTAGGATATTATATGGATTAATGTCAAGAGTTCTTTCATGTTGGTTGGTTGATTTTGTTTAGTCGCATGTTAACCTCTATGGGCTATTTAATGCCAAAATCTAAATATTTTTGAACAATTTTATGTCTTCAACTAAATATTTTGAATACAATTATATGCCTTCAATTATAGATAAAATGTATATATATATATATATATAATGTATTGCTGGTATTTTTATACTTCCATAGTGTTTTGTTGGGGGAGGGGGGGTCATTATTTGCCCATAGATGGGACCCTAACAAGTGCTACCACCCTCGATCAAAGTGGACTGTTGTTCCAAACAGCAACTAAGAGATAGCTCCACACTCCTCAAAACCTCCAATCTCCTGATCAGAGGTTTAGCTCTTGAATCTAGTTTATTGTTATATTCAGGACTAGTGTACTGAAAGTTAGTGAAGGGCATGCTACATGCTCAGAAAGGAACATGATAAAGGATAAAAAGCACATTGAGAAATAAGAACATGAACCTGTTTCCTATATTATAATTGAATGTTTTATTTAGGGCTTTGCCTGCTCTTCTAGGTGGGTAGGTAAGTGATATTTGGGATAACTTCTGCTTTGTCGGTTCTTCCCCTCTACCAATTTCTCACTCACCCATCTGTTCCTCCAGATGGAGTAGTTGGCAATACAAAACCGAGGATTTGGAACTGCTAGATGGACACGTTTGTCTCCTGCCAAGAGTGGACTAGAACTCTACCCACCAATCCCAAAAAAGACTTAATATAGACCAGCATCCTGATATAACCCTATTTCCAGTTTTACTGCCATTTGCCACCAAAATTCCCACATTCATCGATTTACTTCCATGTTACCCTAGAAAATCAAACTTAAAAAGAAACCATCCATTAGCCCACCAAACACAAACATTTGAGATAAAGATAAAACCACCTGTTTCTTTGCTATGTGGGTGTCCAGAGTAACAATCTCTTGTCCTTGTGTTGCCTTCTTGGGTTTTTCAAGGTTTTAAATTCAATGTTCTTCAAACCTAGTGTGCAGTTGTTACTTGGCTATTTGCTTCATACCAACTGAGCAATTTTTCTATAAGCTCATTCCATGATCCATGTTCAATCACTGCAGTAATCAGGTTCCTTACTGTTTTTGCACTTACAATATTCCTAGAATAAATTTCTTGTAACTTCCAACAGTAGAAAATACCAAATTTTATAGTAAAACTATTTAATTTCATTTGTGCTTTCTGAGGTGGATGCATATACCCAATTATGACTCAAATATAGAGTAATTTCACTTTCAGTTTCACTAGTAGAATTCAGATAGTTGCCACTACAGTATTACAAAATGCAATTTCTCACATGTCCTTACCTGCTATTAGATAAACTCCCTTCACTCTTTAGTATATAATTTACTGAGCATTGCTTACAAAATCCCCACTCCCCTTCCACCTTGTCCGTCACCCTCCAAGAATGTTAATCACCTGTCATTGCTGGTTTCATATTTTCT